CAAAAGGCTAACATTACCTCATGGTGTGACTATTAATGAATGTGAAAGGCATGATAATTGATAGATACTGTCATTACTAACAACAATTTCCCTATTATTTTGGCTTATCTTTCTTTATTGTACTTCTAGCACATTGGGTCTTACAAGAAAGGGTAACATAAGCATCCTTAAACATAGACCCCACAACAACAAAGCGATTTCCCCAACTCAAATCAGCAGTAGCAGCAGCAGGACAGAAACCTCTTGCCTTCCCAAAATATATTCAAAAAAAGGTCCGTACAAGGTGATTCCCATGAACCCTGGAGCAAGGTTAGTACAGATGAAATTCTTAGCATCATAGAAAGAACTGTGGAGCATCGATGGGTTTATCTACTGCTTGCAAAGATTGATTCACTTTGCAAAGCAGATCAGCTTGAGAGCAAATATCTACGGCCTTGTACTCAAGAATACCTTGCATTATGCTCCACTCTCTTTACACAGTCAAAGCACATCTGACTATGGCCCACATTCTTCTTGCCCTCCTGAGCTTTTCTACAGCTGATCTAATCAATGAGACAATTCTTCTCATCCACTTGTCCTTCTTCATCAAGCAAAATGGGTCAACCATCTGATGGTTTCATTTCTATCTATCTAACTGGATAAAGTCAGTACATCTCCAAGAATAATCTTGTCCTCAACCATATCAATCTACCCATTGCAATCGCACAAAAGCAAGGAACACATGAAGTGTGTACAAGTGTCATTAGTCATTTAATGCATTGAAAATGTTCCAGCTATGGTATGGAAGACTTAAGCACAAGATCCAGCCACTTTCACAGTCAAGCTGTTTCAGTACAACTATGTCTTTGATATCTGCCTCATAAGAAAAAAGATTTCCCTCAACAGTGCCGTCATAACAAAACAATAAGTTGAACTCAGTCAACTTCTATTCCCATCAGCCTCTCCCTAACTATCAGTAAGGTACTGGAGCAGATGTTAATTATACCACATGTATGCATTAATAACATGCCCACCAGTGCTCTGTTTCAGTTTCAGTGAGCCTTTCAAAAGCTCGGATTCTCACAAGGTGAATCGCACTGATTGAACCACAGAGCCAGATGAAACCAATGAGGGTCAAAAAAAAAAACCCAAAGAACTGCAGATGCTGGAATGTTTCTGTTCTGAAGGGTCACTGGACTTGAAACATTAACTCTGCTTTCTCTCCACAGATACTGCCAGACCTGTTGTGTTTTTCCAGCAATTTCCATTTTTGTTGTCAATTAGGGCCAATACTCTTGAATGACTGCAATCAAACTGATTTACAGCACAACATTAAAAACATCTAAATCTGGGTTATCAAATGTTAGGGAATATTTGCAATATCATATCAGAAAACAAGAAAAATCCCAACCAAAAGCAAATTATCACAGATGATGGAAACCTAAAATGAAAACAGAAAAAATACTGGAAACACTCAGCATCTGTGGAGAGCAACAGGAATGTTTCCAGTCAATGACTCTGATCACCTCTGATGCAATCTGAAACATTAACAGATGCTTCCTGACTTGTTAAATGTTTCAGTTTTTTCTAATTTCATTTCAAAACTCCATCCATTTCTACAACCTTAAAGAGCACCACTGGTAAGTCCCTCACCATCCATGTCACTATCAAACAGCAGCTTAATGGCCAACTAAATCAACATTATTGCTCAGGACCCAGACAGAGAGAGGTGTTCTGTGATAAATATCTCAATTCCTGAATCCTTGTAGCCTCTCCATCATGTACAAGGCTCAAACCACAATTGTGATACAATGCCTAACATTTGCCTGGAGCATCCAGTCACATCCACGCTTGAGGAACTCAAAGCCAGCCAGGACTAATTACTTGATCAGTATCCCATATCCTGCACTAGAAACATTTTTCTCTCTATCATGAACATTGTGCCTGCAGTATATATTATCGACAGGATGTGCTGTAGCAATTTAGCAAGGTTACTTCACAGCAGTTCCCTCCTCCTTTAAATTCTATCAGTCAGAAAAATAATTGAAGCATTGTTGCAGGAACATCATTATCTCATATTTCCATTCGTAACAGTTGCATTCCATCAATGCATTTATCATGCCTGAGTCAATATCCTGGGATTCCCACAATTAGTACCATCCTGGTAGCACCATCACCTTAGTGACTGCAGTAATTCAAGTACAAAATATTCACTAATATTGTAGGTGAACACAAACAACGTGCATTCATGTACTATCATTAATGTAATTAAGTGTTATCAAGCAAAGTTTCACAATATAAATAGGAGTAGGTGTAGGTCATTTGGCCCATCATGCCTGTTCTGCCATTTGATAAAATCATGGTTGATCTGATTATGTCTTAACCCCACTTTCTTGCCTTACCTGCATATCCTGTGATGCCCTTGTCAATCAAAACTGAGCTCTGAATTCATCCAATGACCCAGTCTCCACTGTTCTCTATGGAAGAGAATTCCAAAGACCAAATGCCCTCTGAGAAGAAATTTGTCCTAATTTCAGTCTTAAATGAGAGACTCCTTATTTTTGAATTGTGTCCCCTAATTCCGTGTTGTTCCATGTAAGAAAACATCCTCCCAGAATCTACCCTATCAAGCGCCATCAGAATCTTATACGTTTCAAATTATAATTATCTCTCATTGTTCTAAACGCTAACGAGTACAGGCTCACCTTCCCAATGTTCTCAGTCTTGAAGACAAATCCTAATTCCCAGAATCACCCTTGTGAACATCCTCTGTACAACTCCAAAGGCAGGTTTATTCATCCTTACAAAAGAAGACCAAGACTGCTTACAATACTCTAGATGTGGTCTGGTCAATGCTCTGTACAACTGTAGGAAGACATCCCCTTGCAAAAGGTCAACATTCCATTTCTTTCCTAATTACTTGCTGTGCCTGCATGTTAATGCTTTGTTATTTATGTACAAGAGCACCTAGAATCCTCCGTACTGCAGCATTCTGTAGCATCTCCATTTCTAATAATATTCTGCCTTTCTATTCTTCTTGCCAAAGTGGACAACCTTGTATTTTGTCACGGAATATACCATATGCCATTTGTTTTGACACTCATTTAACCTATCTATATCCCTTTGCTACCATTTGTAACCTCCTCATAACTTGCTTTCCTTCTTTACATAAACGGTAAATCTGGCTTCAACACACTTGCTTTCTTCATGCAATTAGCACAGACCATACATTGTTCAGGCTCCAATAATTATTCCACTAGCTACTGTTTGCAACTTGAAAGTGACCCATTCATCCTGACTCGCTATTTTTCTGTACCCACCATGTTTGATACATCATCCGTGCGCTCTAATAAGTTTTGACAAATGCACATTGCCTTTCATAAAATCACACTGACTCTGTCTGACTGAATTAGGATTTTCTAAATGTCCTACTAAATAGGATTAATTAAGATCATGAATCAGAACACAGGCCAGAATTAAAGAAACACAGACATCTTGCAGGGTTTTAGGCAGAAGGAGAAGGGATTTGAAACCAAGGGTGAGAATTTTAAAAGCAAGTCATAACTTGACAGGCAGCAATGTCAGTCAGCAATCTTAAGGGTGATGGGTGAACAGGACTTGCTGAAAGGCAAGACACAAGTAGCAAGACAACTAGGGTTTAGTAATAAATGCTATTTTGGCAGCATTGCTCATATCTGGGGGAATAAATAAGAAAAACACTATCTCCCCTCTCATTTCAAGTTCCCAAAAGATCTATGCTTCAAGCTGTCATCTCTATTACAAATGTCATGCTTTGATAAAATATCTTACACATAAGGAACGATTTATCTCTTTGCTATTATTTCCCTTTTCATTGAAATTTAGTCTTAAATGAATCAAATCATTCAAGTGAAAAAAACAAATTGGCTCCTGTCATAAACAGCTTCCTCGCTAGTGATTCAAATCCCATCTTTGACCGCCACTCCAACAGAAGATGGGAACACAAGATTTCGATGCAAGAGTAGGCCGTTCAAATCATCATGACTGACCTGGTTGTGATCTGACTTTCCTGACTGCCCTCCATAAACCTTGACTGCCTTATCTATCAAAAATCATTCTCCACTACATTCAATGACACAGCCTCCTTTACTTTCTGGGAAGAGAATTCCACAGACTGACAACCCTCAGAGAAATCTTGTTTGGCTGTCTCTTTGATATTGAGCCATAGTTCTGAAGTATAAAAGGCATCACACTTACAGTCATGCAACATTGCCCATTTCCAGCATTTTCTCAGCTCTCCTCCACTCACTCCCTTATCCACCCTTCTGTCACCATCAAATGTGATTGTTCTAGTGTCCTTTCTCCCATCATCCATTGTCACATGCCACAAACTCCAAGTGGTTGAACTCCCAGCTGCCAGTTTTCTGTCCCACACTGCTCCATCAATCATCCTGTCTTCACTAACATACTCTGGCTTCCTAGTCGCCGGTAAGAAACCTCCATTAATTTTATTTCCCCTCTGTATTTCTACAATATGATTCAACCTTACGACCTCTAAATATGACCTGATCTTTCCCTTCATCTCTCCTACTGCAGCAGAAACCTCATCCACCTCCACTCTGGCGTCTGATACTCCCTTACTATCCCCTTACTTTAGAAAGCCCCTCAAAATTCAAACAACCTTCAGTGACCTCTCCTGAACTGTGCAACATGGTTTCAGTATCCGTTCCTACATTTGTTCACTTCCCCTGCAGGGGGCCTTGGGTTGTTTTGCACAGCAATATTACTAAGACACCGTTAAAAATTTCAAATAGAAGACAAAACGCTATTTGAAAATCTGAAATTGAAAGAAAGAAAAATATGGTGGGGGAATGCTTGAACTTGTCGAAATGAAGAATTTGGATAAATCCCCTATGATTTTAACTAGCCAATGAAGCAGATAGTGTGAATGAGTGACAGCTATTGGTCTGTCTCACACCCTCACTGTCTCCCCAAACCCACTGACAGCCGCGGCCCCAACTTTCGATCCTCGGCCTCCATACCTGTGTCCCCACCACCACGATTTGCGGCAGCTGGATGATATCGGCCCCGACCGTGTTAAACACCTCCTGCAGCTTGTTAATGACGGGAATCAGCGCCTCCATCGCACCTCAGTGATAGCAGAGCGCACTGACTGACCGTTGCCCCACTTCAAACTGTCACCATTGCCAGCCACGGGTTGGGGGAAGGAACTGGCCGCCTCCCGGGCTCGCCGCCAACGCCAATCAACGCGCACGCGCAAAGCCGTTGTTGCACTGGGCCGCCGAATTGGTCGCGTACTGCTCTCTGGGAATTGTAGTTCACTTCCTGAGACAGCAAACCTCAGGAGCAAAGCGTTAGACTACAACCCCCGTCAACATAAGAACTAGGAGCAGGAGTAGGCCGTCTGGCCCCTCGAGCCTGCCCCGCTATTTAATGAGATCATGGCTGATCTTTGAGACTCAGCTCTACTTACCTGCCCACTCACCATAACCCTTAATTCCTTTACTGTTCAAAAATTTATCTAGCCTTGCCTTAAAAACATTCAGCAAGGTAGCTTCAACCACTTCACTGGGCAGGGAATTCCACAGATTCACAACCCTTTGGGTGAAGAAGTTCCTCCTGACCGCAGTCCTACATCTGCTTCCCTTTATTTTGAGGCGATGCCCTCTAGTCCTAGTTTCACCTGCTAGTGGAAACAACCTCCCTGCCTCCACCTTATCTATTCCCTTCATAATCTTATATGTTTCTATAAGATCCCCCCTCATTCTTCTGAATTCCAATGAGTTTAAGCCCAGTCTATGCAGTCTCTCCTCATAATCCAACCCTCTCAACTCTGGAATCAACCGAGTGAATCTCCTCTGCACCCCCACCAGTGCTAGTATATCCCTTCTCAAGTAAGGAGACCAAAACTGCACACAGTACTCCAGGTGTGGCCTCACCATGACCCTATACAGCTGCAGCATAGCCTCCCTGTTTTTAAACTCCATCCCTCGAGCAATGGCAGACAAAATTCCATTTGCCTTTTTAATCACCTGCAATCCCACCTTCAGCGATTCATGCACAAGGACACCCAAGTCCCTTTGCACAGCAGTGTGCTGCAATTTTTTACCATTTAAAACATAGTCCATTTTGCTGTTATTCCTACCAAAATGGATGACCTCACACTTATCAACATTGTACTCCATCTGCCAGACCTTTGCCCACTCACTTAGACTATCTATATCCCTCTGCAGATTTCCAGTGTCTTCTGCACACTTTGCTCTACCACTCACCTTAGTGTCATCTGCAAATTTTGACACACCACACTTTGTCCCCAACTCCAAATCATCTATGTAAATTGTAAACAATTGAGGTCCCAACACTGATCCCTGAGGCACACAACTAGCCACTGACCGCCAACCAGAAAAACACCCATTTACCCCTACTCTTTGCTTTCTATTGGTCAACCAATCCTCTATCCATGCCAATACATTACCTGTAATACCGTGCAACTTTATCTTATGTAGCAGCCTTTCGTGTGGCACCTTGTCAAATGCCTTCTGGAAATCCAGATACACCACATCCACAGGTTCCCCATTGTCCACCATGCAAGTAATGTCCTCAAAGAATTCCACCAAATTAGTTAAACATGACCTACCCTTCATGAACCCATGCTGGGTGTTCCCAATGGGACAATTTATATCCAGATGTCTTGCTATTTCTTCCTTAATGATGGATTCAAGCATTTTCCCCACTACCGAAGTTAAGCTAACTGGCCTATAGTTACCTGCTTTTTGTCTACTTCCTTTTTTAAACAGTGGCGTCGCATTGGCTGTTTTCCAATCTGTGGGAACCACCACAGAGTCCAGTGAATTTTGGTAAATAATTACTAGTGCATTTGCTATTTCCCCCATCACCTCTTTTAGTACCCTGGGATGCATTTCATCAGGGCCAGGAGACTTGTCTACCTTTAGCCCCATTAACTTGCCCAGCACTGCCTCCTTAGTGATAATGATAGTTTCTAGGTCCTCACCTGCTATAACCTTCTTGCTATTAGTTTTCGGCATGTTATTTGTGTCTTCCACTGTGAAGACCGACACAAAATAACTGTTTAATGTCTCGGCTATTTCCTCATTCCCAGTTATTAAATTGGCCTTCTCATCCTCTGAAGGACCAATGTTTACCTTCGCCACTCTTTTACGATTTACACATTTATAGAAACTTTTGCTGCCTGTTTTTATATTCTGAACTAGTTTACTCTCATAATCTATCTTACTTTTCTTTATAACTTTTTTTGTGGCTTTCTGTTGGCCTTTAAAGATTTCCCAGTCTACTAGTTTCCCACTACTCTTTGCTTTTTTGTATGTGTTTTTTTTCAATCTGATACTTTCCTTTACTTCCTTAGACATCCATGGCTGGCTCTCTCTTTTCCTACAGTTCTTCCTTATCACTGGAATATACTTCTGCTGAGCACTGTGAAAAATTGTTTTGAAGGTCCTCCACTGTTCCTCAATTGACCCACCATAAAGTTTTTGCTCCCATTCTACCTTAACTAACTCCTTCCTCATTCCTTCATAGTCTCCTTTGTTTAAGCACAAGACATAGGTACTGGATTTAACCTTCTATAGCTCCATCTGTATTTTAAATTCGACCATACTGTGATCGCTCCTTCCGAGAGGATCCCTAACTATGAGATCATTAATTATTCCTGTCTCATTACACAGGACTAGATCTAGGATAGCTTGCTCCCTCGTAGGTTCCATTACATATTGTTCAAGGAAATTATCGTGGATGCATTCGATGAACCCCTCCTCAAGGCTGCCATGACCGACCTGGTTTGACCAATCGATATGTAGATTAAAATCCCCCATGATAATTGCTGTACCATTTTTACATGCATTAGCTATTTCTATGTTTATTGCCCGCCCCACCACGATGTCGTTATTTGGTGGCTTATAGACCACACCTATCAGTGACTTCTTCTCCCTGCTATTCCTAATTTCCACCCAAATGGATTCAACGTTTTGTTCAGTCGAACCTATATCATCTCTCACTACCTCCTTGATATCATCCTTAAAAATCAGAGCAACACCACCTCCCTTACCTTCCTGTCTGTCCTTCCGAACAGTGTGATACCCCTGGATATTTAACTCCCAGTCATGACCATCCTGTAACCATGTTTCTGTAATGGCCACTAAATCATACCCATTTGCTATGATTTGCACCGTCAACTTATCCACCTTGTTTCGAATGCTCCGAGCATTCAGATAAAGTGCCCTTATGGTTTTTGCACCTTCTTTTTGGTTCCTATTACCTCCATTACTAACAACTCTTGAGTTCTCCTTCCCTTTAACTTTTTTCCTAATTTTCAATGGAGATGAAGCTTCCTCGTCACCTGCTAACCTGCTGCTTTGCCTTACATTAATTGTTATTCTCCCTCTATGCTCACTTCTCCCTTCCCCCCTACTTACTAGTTTAAAGTCCTATTAACCACCCTATTTACTCTTTTCGCCAGAACACTGGACCCAGCCCTGTTCAGGTGGAGTCCATCCCAGCGGTATAGATCCCTCCTGTCCCAGAACTGATGCCAGTGCCCCATGAAAAGGAAACCCTCTTTCCCACACCACTCTTTTAGCCACGTGTTTACTTCCCTGATCCTCGCCTCCCTATGCCAATTTGCACGTGGCTCGGGCAGCAATCCAGAGATTATGACCCTTGAAGACCTGTTTTTTTAATTTTGTTCCTAGCTTTTCATAATCCCGAAACAGGTCTTTTTTCCTAGTCCTGCCTATGTTGTTGGTACCTACGTGGACCACAACAACTGGATCCTCCCCCTCCCTCTCCAGTATCCTCTCAAGCCGGTCAGAGATGTCTCGCACCCTGGCACCGGGCAGGCAACACACCATGCGGGATTCTCTATCCTCCTCGCAAAGGATACTGTCTAGCCCCCTGATGATGGAATCCCCTACAACTACAATCTGTCTTTTTGCTCCCCCGTCTTGAATGCCCTCCTGGACCGTGGTGCCATGGTCAGTTGACTCATCCTTCCTGCAGCCCTGTTCCTCATCCATGCAGGGAGCAAGTGCCTCACACCTGTGGGACAATGTCAAGGGCTGCGGCTCCTGTCTGCAGGTCCCTCTACCTGCCTCACTCGCAGTCACACACTGCTGTCCCTGCCCGCCGATCGAATTAACATTAGTTAATCTACCAGGTGTGACTGCGTCCTGGAACACAGCATCCAGGTATTTCTCCCCCTCCCGGATGTGCCGCAGTGTTTGGAGTTCGGATTCCAGCTCATCAATTTTGAGCCGGAGCTCCTTAAGCAGCCAACACTTGCTGTAGATGTGGTCACTGCTGTTCTCAATGGGATCAGCTAGCTCCCACATCATACAGCTCAAAATTGATGAGCTGGAATCTGAACTCCATACAACTCCTTCGGTAACTCTTCAAACTTGCTAGGATGTAGGCTATTTTGCTTGTGAATCTGTATTTGTACACCGTCTGTGAATCTTATTCCAGTGAGTCACGTTATTTTTAGTTAACGCCTTTTACCTGTCATACTGCATAAATAATGAAAATGCAAACCTTAATTTATAAATGTTTCTGTAATATATCAATGATACTCAAGAAAAATCTACTTAAAATTAAGACTTTTAATACCAAAAATATGCCTTCTGCTCAAGATGGAATAGACTACTACATTTGAAATTAGAATCTGAAACTTTGAAAATTACATGGTATTTAAAGTGTCATAGGAAACTAATTTGCAAAGTTTTGGTTTTGTTTCCAACTAATGTAATGTAATCTAGGCCGTTTCGCATTTTAGTATGGAGGAGATAGAATGGAGAGGAAATGACCTGCATCCTCAAAAGAGACAGGAGAGTCTCCATGAACACAAACAGAAGACAATGTGAACAGATAACTGCAAAAGTTAATGCCAGAGAGTGTAGATTGAGAAACAGTTTACCACTGTAAGATAAAGAGATAGAACAGGAAGAAACAAATGACAATGGCAAAATTACCTTCCTCATCCTTGTTTGTAGTCTTTAACATGTTGACTACACATCCACCTCTAATTTCTCTGTCATTGAGCTGGGTGGAACTACAGTAGCCTATTTACATTCTTATCTGCCCAGCCAAAGCAATAAATTAATATGACAAACTGATACCTAGGTATCAAGGATCCAAGGATCTATTCTGGGCCATCTTATTTTATATCTACGTGCTGACCCTAGGTGACATATCTGTAAACAATGTCAGGTTCCACATATATATTTATGACAG